AAGAAAGAAAGAAAAGATGGATTGGAAAGTGAAGTAGAAAAAGAAAAAAAAGAAAGAAACATTGGACAGAGAAAAGGAAAGAAAGAAACATTGGACAGAGAAGAAGAAAGAAAGAAAGAAAGAAAGAAAGAAAGAAAGAAAGAAAGAATATTATTTTCAAGATTCAGAAAGAATGAAAGGCGGAAAGAAATAGTAAATAATTTGAAGAAAATAAAAGAAAGAAAGAAAGAGAGGGTGGATGAAATAAAGGGGTAGGAAAGTAATAAATAACGCGCAGAAAGAAAGGATGGATGGAAGAAATTATGAAAGTAGGGTAGAAATAATAAAGAAAGAAAGAAAGAAAGAAAGAAAGAAAGAAAGAATGAAAAAAAGAAAAAAGAATGAAAGAAAGGATATTCATAATAATTCCAAACTTTTGATTTAAACACCTGATTGAATAAATAATTGCTATATCCGTATTAAACTTTACTTTGATCCACAAGTGGATCAAATTTTAAAATCTATTTGTCTTTTTTTTTATAAATACACATTGTTTACAACTACATCCGTGTGCACTAAAAAGAAAGTGCTCCATCATTTAATCAATATGTTCCAATAATCCTAGTCGCTCAAACCTTACGATATTCGTTTTATCCTCACCTTATTCTTCTAAAAACCGCCTTCCCCGTTCGAACACTGTGGGAGAAAGCAGTTTGAAGGTGCAATTGAGGCTAAAAGGTAGGCACGCCATCAATTAAGGTTGAATTATCATCTCCATAGCTTCAGGCAACATCGGCCAAACACCACTCGCGTTTTCGGTCTTATGACCGTGACCTCTAGTCCGTTGAGCGCATTGGACCGAGGTGAATTACCCTGGAGTATGCCACCCTCAGGTTGTGTGGGGCGAAGCAGATGTTATTAGCACGGCAAAATGAAATCGGCATAAGTTCATATGGTCGGAAATATAGCAGGGTTAACTAAGAAAATGGATGCAATTGAGAGCCGCCATCTTGTTCAGTTGTTTAGAAATATTGAAAATTGATTTAGAAAGATTAACGCCGTTCGGAACAGAGGTCTGTCCGAGTACCACGTCATATATATATATATATATATATATATATATATATATATATATATATATATATATATATTGAACGATGAAGGTTCAATTCGTGCCGAAGAGCGCAAACTTTTATTTAATAGAATTTCTAGTAATTTCGGGCCGATAGGTGAAAAAAAAATATATATATATATATATATATATATATATATATATATATATATATATGTGTGTGTGTGTGTGTGTGTGTGTGTGTGTGTGTGTGTGTGTGTGTGTAAGCAAATATATGGATATAGATCCGACAGTATGAAGAAAATATATACAGAAAAAACAAACAAAAATCCTTATATGCAATTATGCTGTTTTAATGTTAATATGTCAACGTCGGACGTTTCGGTCTAATAAACCATCTTCAGGACATATTCATAAAATATAATTAACATTATCAATACAACATGACAAAGACGATGTGCATAAGAACAAGACAGATAACTGAAAGTTTTATAAGATCAGCGCTCTGTTTAAAACATGGTCACGTTGACATATTCACATTAAAACAGCATAATTGTATATAAGGATTTTTGTTTGTTTTTTCCGTATATATTTTCTTCATACATATATATATATATATATATATATATATATATATATATATAATATATATATATACATATACTCTGTGATGATAAATAATTTTAATATTTTATATTACTTGAATCCACTTGGATTATATACCAACGGATTGTTACGTTTACTATATATATATATATATATATATATATATATATATATATATATATATGTATATGTATATATATATTGTTAAATTTCTCAGAATAATTCTGAAGTTAAGACACGTTAGATAAAGAAGACAATTGAAAAATATTTCTAAGCCATTGCCGACCTGTAAAAAAAAAAAGCTACCAAGATCCAGAAGGAGGCTTATACAGGAGCGTTCTCTTTTTTTTAATATGAGTAACTACAAAACATTTCATTTTTTTTTAACTTGCCTTGATGAAGTCGGATTGACGAAACGCGTCAGCAATGACTAAGAAATATTTTCCATTTGTCTTTTATATATATATATATATATATATATATATATATATATATATATATATATATATATACTCGACTCCTGTCTAATTCGACGTATGAGGGTCAAACAGATCAGTTCCGACACCAGAACATGTGATTTCATTAAAATGAAGATTTTGTGCTGAACCATTCATACTTTTTGAAGAGCCGAACGCACGCACACACACACACACACACACACACACACACACACACACACACACACACACACACATATATATATATATATGTCTGTGTGTGTGATAAAACAAAGAACAAATCGTTGCGGTGTTCCGAATTCACGGAGAAAACGCGTCCCATTGAAGTTTCAAAAATTAACTACATATGTATGTGCATGTTCATATATATATATATATATATATATATATACATATATATATATATATATATATATATATATATATATATATATATATCAAACGTTATTTTACCCTGTTTCAAATAAACGCCTTTTTTTTTAATTACGCCAATCTGAACATTTAAAGAGTTGGAGATTATAGCTCTCAGGGAAACTGGAATAGGGAAGGGAGTTCCACAGGCGAGAGTTGCGACATATGAAACTAGTGGATTAGAAGAGACGGCTACATTTAATAGTTTCAACAGTGAAAGGGTGAGAGCGGGCTGTCAGCCTCGTAGGGCGCTTGAACTCATGAAGTCTGGGAACCAGCGAATGCAGCTCCTCGGAGCAATTGCCATGAAAGTATTTGTAAAAAAGACAGAGAGAGGCGACAGCGCGTCTGTGAGAAAGTGACTGTAGACGAGATGCCAGATCAGGGCCAATTATATTGCATATCCGCCTCTGGAGCCTATCAAGAACCCCGAGGTAAACAGAAGGGGCTCCAGACCATATATGGCAGCAATACTCCATGGAAGGGCGAATTGTTGATTTGTAGATCTGAAGGATTTGATTCGGGGAGAAAAAATATATATATATATATATATATATATATATATATATATATATATATATATATATACGCCGTCTTACCAATTTGTGACTGGAAGGATAATTCCAAGGAGGATATAAATCCAGGGAGAGCTCAATGTAGACTACAGAGCATTATAATGATAATAAGAAGACGGAGATTTTAAATTATTCATTTCGATTGTAAATTTATTTCGTGAACACAGAGATGTTCAACTCTTCAGATCGAAATCTGGAGGAGATTTATCGCATAACAAAATATTAACAAAAAAAGAAAAGGATTGCTAATAACCTTTCCATTACAAAGAAGTAATTTCTCCGGACTACCAAAAATTCAAAAGTCGAGTGAAATATAAGCAACCAACAAATATCTGAATACATTAAGATCCAAAACCCCAGGGAACTTACTGCTCCAGACCCAAAGTAACAGGACCAGCCTATCCAGGTAACAGACTCAGTAACTCAACAGACATGATACTACAGCCATTTACTAAGCAGATTAAAAGCTACATCAGCGACGATATTCCCTTCCTTAGCGCCATAACACGAAAAGTAGATCCGGAAACACTTATGGCTATTTGACATCAGTAGTCTATATAGCAACATATTCCACGACCTAGGCAAACAGGCAATGTTATTCTAGATTGAAAAACATCCAGAAACACGACATCCCAGATTTACTAAGCAATTCGTTATCGATAGTATAGACCTGATTCTAAACAATAACACTTTTGAATTTGACAAAATCTATATCCAAACACTTGGTGTTGCAATGGGAACGAAAATGGCACCAATATATGCCACCCTAACATTAGCTTACCTAGAGGAAAACCTATACGAACAAAAATAACGAGAAAATATAAAAACTCACTCCACTAAATCTTCATTTTTTGGAAATCATCACGGGGCGATATTAACCAATTCCACACTCTACTTCAGAACTTACACCCGCATGAAACAGTCTGTCGCCTCTGAGTGTTGACTTCAATGTTCTCTTCTATATTTATATTTACATACGTTCTGTCTCTGATATTGAGCACTTTTATCCCATAAGTATAGCACAACTTAAAACTATATTCCTTCATATATATAGGCAAGGTCGAATTTACTGCTTATAAACTTCAATCTAATATAAGCAGTAAATTCGACCTTGCCAATCGAACGATCCTTTGTAATCCAAGCTAAATGACTGTTCCGTATAGGGTTCAGGTTCGAATTCTGTCAAAGGACGAATATTTTCTATGAAAATTTCTCGGACATTCATTTAATACTGTTTATTATAAAACAGAGCATTTACTAAAATACTTGTACCTATAAAAATAATGTTAAACATAAAAATGTCTTTAATATATATATATATATATATATATATCAAAAAGTGTGGATGGTCCTGCACGAAGCCTTCACCACTATAATCAAATCTCATGTGCCGTTGTCGGCTGTCGGTTTCCTGGAAACTGATCTGCTTGACCCTCATACGTCGAATTCGACGGGAGAGTCGACTATATATATATATATATATATATATATATATAATAGCGATGTCAAAGATACTGAGAGAAACGATATTTAAGGCAAGCAGTCTTTGCAGTAAAGTGATATGAAAAAGTGACCATTAATAGAATTAACATCAGTAAAATTTTTGTCACTCAGCGTCCCGACTTCAGAGTTTCGTAGACGGAGCCGTCCGTCCATTCTTCAAGGGTATCAGCAATTGATTGCTTATACTTCTCGAGTTTTTCCTTTTTTTATATATCTGTGTGTGTGTGTGCGCGCGTGCGCGTGCAACAATTTCAGATATAATGAAAAATATATCAGTAAAATAACAATATGAATAATGAAGGCAAAATGAAAACTTTATCTTAGCCGAGGCGTTTCGTCCTTTGATCGACTTTATTAAGGCAAACTCAAGGATTTTATTTTGCAACAAGTATTTATGGACGAAAGTAAAAATGATATTAGCTTTTCTATATGATTGAATTTAAGACACGCTTACAAATATCAGGTTAATTGAAATTTCTAGGAAAATTATGGAGGATGCTATGTGACAATTTAATGTCTGACAAAAGAAAGTAGATCTTATAGTATGCCTATGGAT